AGTCGACGCCAACAGAGTATAGAGGGGGGCCATAGAAAATTGAATGACAATGAGGAGGATCGTTCAAATACTACAGAATTACTGCAAATTCATCCGAGCCCCTACCGTCATTAGTTATCAAGGCGGGGGGAGGGGGGGGGTCAGGGATAACGGATGGGGTATCAGTCGACGCCAACAGAGTATAGAGGGGGGCCATAGAAAATTGAATGACAATGAGGAGGATCGTTCAAATACTACAGAATTACTGCAAATTCATCCGAGCCCCTACCGTCATTAGTTATCAAGGCGGGGGGAGGGGGGGTCAGGGATAACGGATGGGGTATTAGTCGACGCCAACAGAGTATAGAGGGGGGCCATAGAAAATTGAATGACAATGAGGAGGATCGTTCAAATACTACAGAATTACTGCAAATTCATCCGAGCCCCTACCCCCAAAGCAAGGTAGAACAAGGTCCCAATAGTATGTATTGAACACAAAGCACATTACGATCGAGTGTTGTAAAGCTAACAACAGCTAATTAGAAGACAGGAAAAAGCCAAGAAGACACACAAAAAGCCAATGAGAATTCAAAGTATGAACAAACGAAATGCTCATAGCATAGGAAACGAGTCAACACATCGACATTGGTTTAAGGTTTGAAATCTGGTTGGTTGAGGAAGTGGGGAGAGTTTTCTGAATCAATCACACTCAATCTGAAGCAAAACCAAAGCAATCTCCGATTATTTTCAACATTCAATTGATAAAAATTGTCCTTTTAAGTTGATGATGCACATAATCGGAGAAATAACGGTCTGACAGGCGATTTGGTGACTGGGGGAAGGGTATAGCTGGTTCCCCATTCAAAATAATACTTCCTTAGCCAAAACATCTGCTAGGGTGGAACTTAATACGATTGCCAAACCAAGAGAGGTTAATTGGGCGCTTGCAAACAAAACTCCATCTTATTTAGTTCTCATTCTCAGTCAGTTTTTGAACAAGGATCTCTTAAAACTTTGGCTATGATTAACATTTACTTACACCAGCGGATCTTTCCCATGAGAACTGGAGAAATACGGTACAGACTGAGAATCCAACTACAAGGAAGAAAAATAAGGTTTCAACTGGGAATACTCTTCGTATTGAGAGGAGTAATCAAGCATAACGTGGATCTTAAAATATTGAGCTCATATTCTTCAAGTTTGTCATATGCAGTCTTTAGTGAATTAATGTTTAAAGACGAGCGCGGACCGCGAAGGACAAAGACAGAGCTCTGGCTTTTTCATTGCCTTGTACCCAGACGCCTCTCTTCCAAAAATGGGTGCTCAAGGAAGGAAAGGAACTTTGGGAGAGCCGTCTGGTGGGCTGGATTTTCAAGGTGGTTTGTGTTAAGGGGAAAAAAAAGAAACAGACAAAACAGCTGACAAAAAATTTGAAACTTGGCCAAAATTCGTATTACACACTGACCTCATTTGCTTTGTCTAATTCTTTGTAGTCATCTTTTGAAGCGAGTTCGTCAGGATGGTTTATTTTGGGGACATTAGGTACAGTTTGGGGATCCACCAGCACATCATAAGGAGCCATTGGATGTTGGTAAGACGCAGGATTTGTTATGTCCCATATTTTGGGCTGACCTAGAGTACCTAACAACACAAATGGCAAATTCATTTCTCTTGTCATTACCCAAACTTTCTGACTTAAATTATTTAAATCTTTCTAACTGCGATGAACGTAGAAGAGCCAGTTTCGAATACAACTGCAAGGAGATCCCAGCATCTGTCATCATCAAGCCGACACATTCTGTAGAGAAGAATTCGTTTCTGAACGAGTTGGGATGCTAGGTGTGTTTTGAAGATAAAGAACCTTCTTTGTTAAAATGGAACGAAACAAAACATACCAATAAAATGTCCATCCATAGTCCACAGTCTGACAGTGCAGTCAACAGACGCTGTCATTAAGACGTCAACATTCCATATTTCTAGTGCTTCAAGGCTGAAATGTTTCAAATAAAACATGTTTATCTGTCTACTATTTACCAAGACAAAGAAAACTAATCCATGATATTTGTGCCTACAATTTCCCGTCAATACTTAGTTTTTCTTGTTAATTCTTTCCCTCAAAATTTTTTCTCAGAAAAGATTTTACACGAGAAGCCTCCTTGTTGAGCCTTTCCACTCTCAAGGGAGACCGAAAGAGAACTTCCCTTTACAATGTCGATGCATTTGACATTAGATACGAGAGAAGGAAGAAAACAAAATCAATCAACTGGAGCATATTGTTAAATTCAATATCAATTTCTCAGAGCTATGATTGTGAAAAAAATGTTACACCGACAGTGAGAAGAATTAATGTTAGATGGAGGTGGTGAAAGGGTTAAAAAGTAGCTCAATGATCAGTTGTTGGACAAAAGAACTTGTGACGGAGAAACTTGTCAACTATTTCCATCGGAATTGCCTTGGAGAAGATATGAATTGAGATTTTCTCTGTCCACAGACGCCTTAAACCAAGGAATTGTTTTCCATTTCTAAATGCTGATAGAAGAAAAAGGGAAAGTTGCTTACCTGGTGATGCTTTGCACATGTGCACGCCAAAAGAACAGACCTACAAAAACAGAGATAGCATTACTCTTCACTTGAAAAGAACCATCCAATTTTGAGAAGTATACAAGGAGGAAGGTCCACATACTCCTTCGCGATTAATAACACTCCACAGTAAAAACACGTTATTTCCTTAATATAATTTTACAACCGAGCACTTGCTTAATCAACGGCGAAGAAATGAAGAAAAAAGAAAGTATGGAAAAAAGTAAGGAAAATGATTGGTAACCCCTCTCGTTTGGGAGAAGATGACGATTTCATTCTCCAACGGGCTGTTGCCAAACAGCAAAATCCGCCATCTGCTCATGTTAATCAGATGTAAACTAACCCATAGTGAGAAGAAACATTGGAAAAAACGAGAGGTCTCCACCCACATGAATGCGTCACTGTCGCACTCGCTTCAGATGGAAGCAAAGGAAATAACAGAGCTTTGCTGAAAGTCGACTTGAAAACTTGCTTTCTAGCGACTCACATTATGCGGACTTTTTTCACATAGTTAACTCTGTGTGGGCACAATTAAACAACACAAACTATCAGTTGCGACCAAGTGCCCTAGCTTGCAACTAATCAGAGAATAACTGCGTTCCACTCACGTTCTGGGGGTTTAGCTGTTTTTCCTCTTATACCGTAATCCTCTACATTCCAGACTGAGATGAAACCTGAAGAAAATCAACCCCAAGAACATTTTGAACGTTAACAAGGTTTGAAACTCTCAATTTTCAATTTCTAAGCTAGGTAAGGTAAAAACGATTTGTCACTTGGGCGACAGTGAAAGTGATGTTGCAAACAAAACAACGAAAAAAAAAAAACCCCACCTTTTTCATCATATTTCGCAAGAGAACGCATTCTGCGCCTCCAATATACCAAGATTGTTGGCTGCCGTTTTGATTCCCCCACCCACCCCTCAAGTTCAAGTTGTCGGTTACAAATAAGCGGAGTGAACAAGTGAGACGTGATAAATACCAGAAGAACGTGCGCAACGCCACACGCACGGGCATGTAATATCCCCTACGTACAACGCGTGTCAAACAAAAATTAAATTTAGCTACCACGACAGAATAAGTTAAGCCCAACAAGAACAACAATAATAAACAAACAATCGACCAACCTGCTGAATCCGCAGTAATGAGTTTGGTATCGTTTGAAACCGAAGTCAAAGTGGTAACACCATGCTTGGACTGTGAAGAAATAAAAGAAATAAGCACAATGAGCATTTGTAATGTGCATGTCTGAAAATAGGGTTACATGGTCCACGCCGTCGGAGCTAATCCCGATTTGCATATCATGAAGCAACCAGGAGTATTGCAACTCCCCTTGAGTAGAATTCTACTCTTTTACAATTTATCTCCCCCCTTTAAAAGATTGTCAGGTTTCCCTCATTATTGTCGCTGCAGATCGCGCGTTTTTCCGCCCGCAGGAAGATTTAAGACGAGTTGGAGAGAGGTTTACCGGGGGTCTGGCACTAATAATCAGTGCCAGACCGCCTTACAGACCTCTCGCGGGCTTGGGTTGCTCAAAGCCTCAGATTTTTGCGCGAGCGAAGAAATGCTCGTACCCAGGCCCTAATAATGAGGGCTGCCCGCGGGCTACCCGCATCCCATTGTGACTAAGTTCCCAATTTAACCAAAACAATCGCTTACCGGAGAAAACGTAGCGTAAAGTGTGCCACCAGTGTAAATATTCCAAAAGTGAATCAGTCCTAAGGAACAATACTGGCAATGTTAGTAGAGCATAAAACAAAAGCTTTTCAGAAGCGCCTTTTTATACTAGCAGCCCACAATCTGCGGAAAAGTTAGTTTTCTTAAATAGAGACTCGGTGTAAGGCAGGTCTGGTAAGGCTTCCCATTACTCGGCAAAAAAAAATGTCAAGGAGACAGCCATGAAAACGTAGCGAAACAAAATATGAAATTGAGCAGATCGATAGCTTTGAAGGTATACATTAAAACATTTTACATTTCCTTGCCATCCTTTGCCAAACAAAAACGTAAATAACCAAGTTTTGCGCGACACCACATTAATCAAGTTTCAATTTCAGACTTGAAGTTGCCTTCGAATGCTGTGCTGCAGACAAAGTCTGGCGCCTCTGTGGATGATAAGTACACTACTCTGGGAGATTAGGATAAATCATTCTTTTAATGACCTCGAACATGATTTAACTCCTCCCTCATTAAACTTAACTCAAGTTAACAAAATTACTTGTTTCGATGCGTACACCGTTGTACTAGTGCGATACGACGAAAAGTAAAAATGAGTGAACGCATCGTCTGTCACATTAAACTATTTTTGCGTGTCCTCTTCTGCCAAACAGAGTATAAAGTCGACAATTAACGTCTAACATACGAATCGAAAAATAGCAGAAACTCTAAAAGAGATGCCTTGTTTGTTATTACATCAAATGGTTGTGTAACGTTTCTTAACAACTACGCGTTCAGCAAAATTACATTACAACGGAAGATATCAACTTGGTCCTTACGATGAAAAGTAATACCTTGTGGTCCACTGGCCACCAGAGTGGCGGCGTCTTTCTTCATTGCTCTTGCTTTCAAGAATATTATCTTACTAACAGCATTCCCTCCATCCACTAAGAAACAAAACAAGAAAATATGATCATTCAATTAACCCTGATAACTTGATTCCTTGGAAATTTTTTTTGACGTCCCTTAAAGGTTCGAGCGATAAGAGCAACTGTGTTTGTCTGTCAGTGAAATTTTTCATCGAGTCTAAAAAAAGTAATCCGCAACTATATTAGCCTTGCTTTATTTTGCTCCACGATTGGTCAAGAAAGCTTGCGCCATCCTCAATCAGCCAATCAGAAGCAAAACTTAAACCAATAACGATGTATCACTCGTATTTCCCGGGGCTTCAGGTAGTTAGCGTATTTTTACTGTCAATAGCTCCTTCTGACATTTTCCTGTGTTCTGATTGGCTATTGTGATAACTCTCGTTTGGGGGTTTTACGATACTCGGTGGAAATGCGCTTTGTGCATGAGCACTGGTACCGTTGCCAGAAACAAAGTAAGTTCAATTTAGAACTTCCAATAAATTTTAGAATAATGTATGGTGCAACCACCTAAAAAAAAAAAGGTTTCTTGCCCCGTATGCTTGAAATCGCCCTTATCGATAGCTTGGTTGCGTACTTACAGTCCTCAGAAGACAGATTGACTCCGTTCTCTCTGGTCGCAAAGGGTGAAAATAAGTGGCAAAATATATGCCCCGAAATCTGATTCCAGATGATAATCTACACAAGAAGAAAGACGGTATAGTACATATCAACATGGCGACATAAACCAATGGGGACCAAAAGGTATTTCATGACATTTTCGAAATTATGTGCTAAAGACCCAAAGTTCCAAGCAGAATGTTCCAGTGGAAGTATTTTGGCGCTTAGTTTATAAAGGCCATCAGTCATTGTAAATGGAAAGAGGAGAACATAGCCAAAAGTTATGCCACATCTTTGCACTTTTACGTGTAAAGGTTAAAACGAAGACTGTGTAATTTGTTCCGAAGAACATGAGCCAATGAGAACTCCAGGCCCGGTTTTTCGAAGAGTGAATAATGGTATTTGATGTGTAAATCTCTATCCAGTTGACAGCACAGTATGTTTTGTTAACACTTATCCACTAGATAGTGATTTATCCGTTGGATAGCGTTATCCGTCCTTTGAACACTGGACCATAATTTGTTAAGAAACTGAACGAAGTCGTTATACCTCGCCATCATAACTGGAAGTTGCCAGGAGGTTTGGTGGACTAACTGCAATGGATAGTATATCCTCTTTATGGCCGTTGACCTAAAAACGCAGAAAAACAAAGAGAACGAGACAATTGTAAGTATTGGAGAGACTTTAAAAGGGAAAAGATGCTCCACCATTAAAAAGAATATAAAACATTTGCTATTTACTGAGTTTTGAAATTCCGAAAAGTAACCCAACCCTTCTAAAGTATAATAAAATGTACCAAGCATTCGAAAATTGCGCTTTTGAATATTTTATAGAAAAGGCGCAATACAAACAATAAATGTTATTGTTATTGAAAATAGACGCCGCCATTGGAACATCCTTGTTATCTGGCTGTACAGGCGAAACCAGAACAGCTTCTGCTGCGGTTAGCACAAAATAAAGAAAAAAAAAAACCTTGTTTGATTCAAGCATGCCTTTTTGCGTTGCTGCCAATCGTTCAAAAAGATTGCCAAAAGATGGAAAAGGGATGTTAGACTTTGTAACGTCGCCGGTGAGCAGCCAGGTTACTAAGTAAGAACACTATGGTGGCATCTGAAGACGAATTCTAAACACATTTGGGGGCGATTTTCCAAAGGTTAGATTTGGTGTTCTGAAATCTCAAAACGGGGCCAGTCTGGGGCCATTTGGTAAAGAAGGGAAAAAGAAAAAAAGCAAGTGTTTTTTACACAATCATCCCGGTCTCTGTTGCATAAAGCGAGTTATCCCACCCCCACCCCCAATGCTCGATAGAATTGTAAGACTCTTTCTTAGGACCACAACACAATCACCCAGCCGGGACTCGAACATATACCCCTTTATCTGGAGTCCTAGTGCAAGCCATAAAACCTCCTCCTTTCCCCGGAGGGGAGGGGGGGGGGTACGTGGTAGACATAAACTTACCAGGTCGTCTTTCCAGTAGGCATATGGATGCTGCACATGATGGAAATCTTCATTATCATCCTGTCAGAACATGTCAGAACAACATCATCAACAAAGAATTATACAATTATACACGCATTTACATTGGTTCTTACTTGTGATCTATTGACAGACAGACACAAAGATGACGTAAGAATGATAACTTTTGCCTCTTGATCATATGAAACAAAAAGATTACATGTCGCCAAGCGCCATGCATCCGTTTAGCAGTAACTCACAGAAGAAATCAAAATGTGTTAAGGACATCAGTGACACACTGGCTACCCCTCTGTGCCACTTTTTTGTTCTTATTACATTTTGACGTCATCGGTGATCTATTGCTAAATTGACGCATGGCAGCCTGGAATTTGTTAGTTTAACAGAGAAAAACAAAGTTCATAACAAATTGAAGCTAATAATCGGCATCCACAGTTGTGGAGTATAAGCGCTGTGAGCATAACCACCAGTTACAGAAGCTGATGCAACGCATACAATTTTCAAAAGTTACTCACGGAAAACAGGTTTACTCTTCTGTCCCAACCGACGGAGATGATATATCTGTAACACAAAAGACAACAGTATTAGGTATTTGGGTCGATGGTTCAATTCTAACGAAAAATTGCTGAGTTCTTAAAAACAGTTTTACATTCTTTTGTGAAGTTTGTGGAGAGTTGTCGACAATGGCCAACGACTCTCTTTCTAAATCAATAATCTACTATTGTTATCCAACTACACCTAGACGAGTACAAATAACGCCATAGACGAGTACAAATATCACGCGGTATTTGTACTCGTCTATTTTAGTACCGGTTAAACAGGTTTTCTCGCATCGCGCAAGCGAAGAATTGGATTGTAGTTACGAAAAAAAAAGAAATGGTGGCGACAATTTGAATCATATTTCCGACGACGAAGCGTCAAAATGACTGGAAAATATAGATCCAAGTTTATTAGATGAATCGAACGAAGAAAAACAGCTTGACGACCAGAAAATTTCTTCATTTAATGAAGAAAATAGAAACAGCAACACAACAACGCGCCAATTCCATTCCGCTTCGCATACTTCTGTCACGCACTCCCCGTAAATAAATATCCGCGAAATTCGCCCGCACTGAAATAACAGTTTGGCGTGTTGGATAATAAATAACTTATTAGACGTTTTGTTGTGTAGTATCGCTGAGTATTTTTACTCGTTATTTGTATTTTGACTCGCCCTACGGGCTCGTCAAAATACGGCACAACTCGTAAAAATACTCAGCGATACTACACAACAACACGTCTAATAAGATATATATCTACTAACCTTGCACCACATCAATCTATTTTTCCATAGAAATACATATTTAAAGTTCTCACTCGCATTTTTATTCTAAGCGCGGTTCCATACAGATGGTTCAAATTTAAGCAGAAATTTACAGCAGTGAATGCCTCACTGTACCTGTTTTTATTCAGAACTAAGTATGTTAAATCTGCCACTTCGTCCACGTCACTCCCTAGGACCAAACAAGAAAAAATTGAAACAAATGACAGAAGCTTTTCACCAAAGCCATAGACAAATACTTCAGTTACATATACTGGTATGGCTCAGTTACGAGGTAGTCCCCACAGAGCTGAAGCCAGCTTCTGGCCAACCGCCACACATACACGATGGTAAGGCAGGCAAACAAATTGTTAGATAAAGAGCCCTAGTACAGACTGGCGAAGAGCAATAAAGCAGTTTTTCAATTAAGTGCGGAAAGTGATCCACAACTGCAACAGCCGTGCTTTCCTTCGCTCTCTAATTGTTCTGCAAAAATTCCCACCCCCCCCCCTCATAATCAAATGTGAAACTAAAACCACCACGACTTAGTCACTAATGCATCAGACAGTTTCCTGTGTTTACTTTAAGTTCTCGCTGTTTCTTTCTTCAAGTTTCGATTGTGTCAGATCCCCCACCCCACCCCCCCCACACACAAACGCATCCATATGTTAGTTAAGATTAGCGATGAGCAAGACAGTACGATTTCATACGAGTTGCTTGTTTTCCAAACAGAAGCCTAACCTTTTTCTAGTGTTCTTAGACAGTGGCCATTGTTGTAGTTCCATATTCTAAGCCGGCCGTCTCTTCCGCCAGTTATTAATCTGTGCAACGAAAAAGAAAGGATGGCTTAAACTCAAGAATTCTGTTGAATACCCTAACATTTCAGGACAACGGAACTGAAGCTCTCAAAGAGAGGTCAAGAATTTCCGCAGTAAAATTATTACTGAAGAAGGACGCTAAACATTTGTCACAAGAGAGGGACAGAAAAAAATTATTCTCTCAACAGGATTCGAGGCCCAAATAAAGGGATACTACACCTACTACCTAGGGAACCCTAAATTTTTTGTTTATTATTCCCCTGTTGCCCAAATGCATCAGGAGTTTCAATAACGTTTTCCATAACATAGACGGCGGTGAAAGGTAAGCGGCTTTTACTGAAACCTATTGAAAGATTTATTTTTAATAATCAATTAATCAACTAAATAATCAACTACCCGCAACACACGCACAAGGTTTACATAAGTGTAACTCAACAATACAAGGGACCACTGTAATCGTATGCTATAATGGTTCTTACTGAAGTTTTCGTCTTCAAGTTTCGAATGTAAGAGGAACAAAAAGGTTTTAAAATCTGTTGAGCACTTTGTCGCGATGTGTAGATGTTATTTGCCAAAAAATTGTTTGCTAACCTTCTTTCCGTTGAGTCAAAGCTCATGCATGTGACAGCTTGATCTCCATGTGCTTGGGAAAACTCAAACACTGAGCGGCCTGTCTCCAAATCCCAAACTTTAACCACCTGAGGAGAGAAAACGCGAATCAAGGGACACGGTTTAAAGGACTGGTTCCGCGAGCTGCAACATGAGGCAGGACTTGTGTTTGGATTGGCCATTCAAGCGGGCAAGGCGGCCGAAATTCCCGCTTTGATCTCGCAGATCAAAATATTTCTCGCAGCCGGTTTACATACTTCGTAACTTGTGAGGAACTTTCTCTGCTACAAGAATCCTTGCTTGTAGTTTTTACAGCAGTGGAATTCAGTACCAAGTTTTGAGGACCATGAAAAACCAAACAAACAAACCGATGGGTTTCGTATTTCTTTTTCCGTTCTTTGGTATAATCGTGAATAGTTTAACCATAAAATTAATCCTTGCTAGAAAAGAAAGTTAATTTCAAGGAAGTTAATTCGTATTAACTTACGGAATTTTCCGAAGCTGTGACGATATGTTTAAAGCTTTTGTTGTATTTCAGACACATCACTGGCTCCTTGTGAGTAGTTATCATATCTTTTGACGAACTTCTGCAATTCGAATAGAAAACATCTACCCGTTCAATGCAAGGAAAATGCTGAAGGGCGAAAAAGTTGGCTAAAAACAGTGGCTAATAAAACAACGTAAACAATCATAAGATACATATTTCTACATGGATTTTAATGGTTATTTTGTTTTTGCAGCTAGAATGTCTGATTTGTAAACAATACAGCGACCCCCCCCCACTTCCCCTCGAACCAGGACGACTCGATTTTGAGATAGGCCAACAGAGAATTGTTGTGTTAAACTTACTGACCTGTTCTTCAGAGGCAAAAGAGCTATTTGCTCAGATGTGGCAACAGCAAGACCTCTACTGGCGGAGTTGTAATGAATGGCTGGCAATTCACAACGAGAACATTTTCAGTTACATGGTCAAGAGCAAGTAATGGATCAGTCATATCTATCACTTGGTTTTAAGGGAAACGGAGGGGGAATCAGTCGTAGCTAACAGAAAATGAAGGGGGGTGACCATAGAAAATGGAATTTTCTTTCTCCCACTACCCCTCTCTCCCCCTCTCCCCTCCCCCATCCTTCTTAGGAGTCTGGCTAGGCAGTCTACGGTTTTCTGATAAGGTCAATTTATATTGCATCGGTAGAATAAAGAAAACAGGTATTTAAAGCTAACAGTTCATTTGAACAAGCTCAGCAGTCCTACAGTTGCTGCTCCACTGAAAGTCAAACTTTTATACTTCAAATTCTGTTGTATATATTAAGAGCAATTACCTGCACAGATTTTATATACTGTTACTTGCACATAATCACCATGGGAGGGGAGGGAGGATCGTCGGAATACCACAGAGCCTTAGGCGGGATCGAGTAAATTTCACTGTGATCCCCCTTCTCAGTGATAAATAATGACCGTACTCTAAATACTAAATTTGTTTCATTTTCATAAAAAAATCGAAATGGTAAAACATTTTTGAGAAGAAAGCAGAGTTTTAAAAATTGGGAAGGGTTAGTGACAAGGAGAGGGAAGGAATTGAGGTTTTTAACAGGGTTTCAATAATAATAATAATAACCTTTATTTTAAGAGGGTGACACCAATTACTTTGAAAGTATTCTCCCTAGTGGCCCTCTAAAACACCCACCCATCCCACCCCAGGGGAGGACATCCATCACACAGTAATCTCGTGTGTGGGAAATTAACGTCTCCTACCCCAACCCTGCAGGAGACCTCACTTTCACCAGAGTGTGGTGAGGGTCGCACAACAGAGCGAGGCTCCAAATTAAGTGCGCCCTATATCCCACCCATCCCACCCCAGGGGAGGACATCCATCACACAGTAATCTCGTGTGTGGGAAATTAACGTCTCCTACCCCAACCCTGCAGGAGACGGGACCTCCATTTATTCGTCCCTATCCGAGAAGACTAGAATATCTAACCATTTCTTGATGTTATAGAAAGGTAGCAAATTCTTCTCAATTATTTTAAGACCCTGAGTGTTGGTCCGGCCGGGGCTCGAACCCTCGACCTCCCGCACAACAGTCCAGTGATCTATCCATTGAGCTAATCTAATCAGAGAGCTTGTAAGAGCGTAAACAGTAATTGCGTGTATTTTCTCAATCAGCTCACTTCTCGGCACCAGTACTTACCCGCTAAATCTCCTCTAATCTTGTGTGCTTTAGGTCGTACGGTCAGCAGGCACGTGTGATCATGGAGATCCCAGACCTGATCATTTAAATGGATCGCAACGTTAGGAAAACTACACAACATGGGATAGTTATGATTGACATTTCGCTTAGTGGTAAGTAGAAAAACAGAAAATAGAACACATTTCGATTTAGAGTCTAAATCGAAAACTGGCCAAATAGAACAAAATAAAACATTTTCTAGGGAACCTGAAACTTAAGTAAAAACAAAAAGGAAACTGCCTGAAGCGCACCACAACGTGAGTTACTAAGTCACGACTTGTTTTAGTTTGAATCTGATAGGTTGAGAAAATGATTTAAGATTTCCCGTCCGAGCAAAGAGCATAGTAAAACAAAACCAAGGCAACCCCGGGTTACTTGACACTCAAATGAGTGTCGACAATAATCCGTGTTTGTGTTTTGCTAAACTTTACTCTGTGATTGGCCCAAAAAACTCACACCTCCCTCTCAACCAATCAGATTCAAAACTAAACCCACCCCTGATTCGGTCACTCGCGTTTTTGCGCCCTTGATGCAATATGCCTGTTTTTACTTGGAGTTCTAATTGGTTAATGATGATGTCAACCTTCGCTCCAATAGACGGCTGTAATTACTCTGGTTTTAGTATTTCGAAACTCAAGTAAAAACTGATTGAATGTATAGACGTGATGATCATACACAGTTAGTGGAAAACTTGTTTAGTAAGGCTCGGGATACCATGCTTTGTCGCCATACCTTAACAGTTTTGTCCGTAGATATACTGAATATTCTGTCATCTTCTGGACAAATAAACAAATGAAAAATCGGCGCCGTATGTCCTCTCAAAAGACCAGTCGGTTTACTAATAAAAACAAAAAACAAAATACGTCGAAAAGTACGTCCATAACCAGCCGAGAATGGTGTTAAAGGCCACTGTGCCTGAAAAGGGGCCGTAAGGCGAAATACAAAGACGAGAGCCTCTTCGCAAACTCAACAGACGGTGGCCAGCGGTCTTCCAGGGGACGGTAGACCGCCAGTAACCGGCTTTTATTGAAACCCTTGAATCAACTGCTGCGACGACTTATATTTAAGTAGAAAAGAGAAGGTGTTGTATCTATTTAACTGGACGTGAAACAACACAGATTCTTAGTGACGTCACTAGTAGGTAGAAAAAGATGCTTATTCGTCTTGGAACAAAGAGCGATTGTAATTCTCATGAGGAATCGAACCCAAGACCTTCGGATTTCGTACTCTGATGACGCTCTAAAGTGAGTTACGCCAACAATACGTTCGTATGTGACACGCGCTCTGCATACTGTCAGGATCAGAAGTGTCGAAAGCGACATGTGCAATCTTCGTTGTCGTTGTATATTTTTACATTTTTCTCCATTCGCACGCATGTTTTGAGGGAAAAGGAGTTGATTTAAGGGAGATAAATCATTTCAACAGTTAAAAGTACGTCTCAGAGTTTGAAATATGCGAAGTTTGGAGCTGCTTGCGAGAAAAATTCTGGCTGGCAAAAGTGCTAATAAGCCCAAACATCATTTGTAAATTTTCTTTTTCACATTGTGTGGCTGAGAGAAGTTTAGATGTATCGGGCTGAACATTTTAGAGAAGGGTAAATTTGTCTCATATTTCGATTCAGTAACAAAAATTTTGTGGCTTGATAGGAAAATGAAGAGCTTCTGCTAATGAGAAAAATATATGTAGACAAAGTTTCTCCTATGGAAAGCAGGTTTCTTGGCCAAAAATCTTATTTGGACATAGAGCGTTGAATACAAGTTATCAACTTAAATGAAAACGGTTAATACCTTGGAACGTAAGGGTTCCACATTCGCACAAGCCTGTCCATTCCTTGAGGGAGAGAAAATCGATTTTGGTGAGTCTGAGATATTGCACGTACACATACTCCAATACTGTTGGGATCACAATTCAACAGTTTGAAACTTCGTTGGGAAACTCATAACTACAAGGGGCCTTACCACATGCTTCAACTCTTGTAACTAGATAAATATGCTTAGCGAACATGGTAAAACATTCTATAAGGACTGTCTAACGATTTAAATCATACGTATGATGCACGATCCTCGCAGTAAAGAGCGCTATTTATGCAATAGCGAAAATCAGACCTGAAAAAAATCAGGCCTGTACGGGATTCGAACTACTGACCTCTGCGATACTAGTGCAGCGCTCTACCAATTGAGCTAACAAGCCAACTGGGAGCAGGCCATCAAATTAATTCGATATAAACCCGTGATGATAAATCAGATACTACGAATCAACTTAACGGCCTGCTCCCAGTTGGCTTGTTAGCTCAATTGGTAGAGCGCTGCACTAGTATCGCAGAGGTCAGTGGTTCGAATCCCGTACAGGCCTGATTTTTTTCAGGTCTCATTTTCGCTATTGCACAAATAGCGCTCTTTACAGCGAGGCCATGGATCGTGCATCATACGTATCTATAACCGCAGTTCAATATATAAACTTCATATATTCATCGTATCTGATTTAAATCATAGGTGTTAGGGGAGGCTTAATCACTTGATTTAATTCAAATCATTTTAAATCAGCATGCCCTACGTTTGACCACCGTGTTCACCATGAAACACATTAGGGCAGTTTTTAATTGACTGTTGTTAACCAAAAACAAGTAATCACAACAGGCAATGATAAAAGGTTTGCGCCATAACTAACCAATGAGGACTTACGCAAACTACTAAAAGCGCGGGAAACTATAACTATAACCATAACTAACCAATGAGGACTTACGCAAACTACTAAAAGCGCGGGAAACTATAACTATAACCATACCTAACCAATGAGGACTTACCAAAACTACTAAAAGCGCGGGAAACTATAACTATAACCATAACTAACCAATGAGGACTTACCAAAACTACTAAAAGCGCGGGAAACTATAACTATAACCATAACTAACCAATGAGGACTTACGCAAACTACTAAAAGCGCGGGAAAAGGCGGGTGACCAAGTCACGTTTAGTTTCCGTTTCGTATCTCATTGGTTTGGAGCATGGCACGAGTTTTCTGGACCAATCGAAGTAAGGCAGAGCCAAAGCAGTTCCGGATTACTTTCGACATTCAACGGAAAACTTCTCTCAGAGAAAATACAAGTAGTATCACAGACACACAATGCAACTTTAGAAAAAGGGTTGAAATTACTCCCCACCTCCAGTTATAATGACATTTTTTTCTTTACAGAAGTCAAATGTTTTGACTCCTTTGTACACTTTGAACACTGTCTGGTCACTGTCCGCCCGCCTTCTTGGCTGCAGATCACGGGAAGTGAAATTTTGAATTTTCTTTGAAGCACCAGTGGAATCTTTTAATTGAGATTCTACATGGGTGCTGCCCATTGTTTGACCTGAAAACCAAGAATATCATGCTTTACTCAATGAGCGCCTCACAAGTTGCCACGTTCCTTTCCAAATACGTTCCTACAGTTAGAGTGTAGCAAGAAGTCATTTAACTATAGACTTAATATTATGGCTATGCGATTTATAACAGTAATTTGGATCTTTTTTCAATTCATTATCTCATTTCATTTTAACGTGTTGGTGAAGTTTGCTTGTTTCATTTTTCATCTTTCCATCTTATTTCATCCTTTCGGGTGTTAAAAAGTAGTCTTTTCCTGAGGCCTTCAATGATAGTAATTTTTGTGATCAACTGGGTGACTGAGTCACCCTTTCAAAATAGGGAATCTATTTGTCTGTCCGTCTGTCGGTCTGTACAATAGTACGTATACACCTTTATTTATCTTATTATTATCCTACAACATTAGAAGTATACGTATTAATGTGGAAAAAACGGTTGTACTTAGTAACCGAAAAAAACAAAAAAAACAAAACCAGCTTACTCCGCCTGAGTCGGGCGTTTCTCTGTTTTCAGTGTAGTTTTTGAGTCAATTCATAACGATTTAAAGCGATTTACTCGGTTTTCTTAGTTCATGTTCTCATATAGTATGTGGCCCCGCTCACAAACGAGTAAATTGTGGCTACATTCACAACGCACGTGGCTGCAAAATTGGAATTGGCCTGGGTTCGATCCGTCGTCGGCGAACAGTGGATGGAAGGGAGGTAAAAGAGAGATACCCAGATTTTTCTTTGTCTTTGAGCATTTGGAAGAACGGCTAGGTAACTCACCAATAACCAAAGCTGTTTCAGGGTGATTTGAACAAGATATGACGGCTCTCAAAGAGTCATAATACTTCAGCTGTGAGACCCAGTCTTCGTGGACTTTCCACCTGAAACAAAACCATCACAACATCTTTAAACTTCGGTTTGGTCTGGACAAAACCCATTTTATCAGCTCCTTCACCAAACACAAGCACGAAATTCCAGAGCTACCCTACAAGATGTCGGTCTCCAATACAAACAAGAATCAATTGCAAAGAACAAAGAATTGACTTTGTCGCAGTTTCTTTCAAGATTACAGTGCAAAGTCCTTCATTCAAACAGTAATGTGATACCACAGGCTTACCATCTTAAATATCTGTGGTTTCGGGTTTCTATGGTAATGGGTTCCTGTAGCATTTACATAGCCGTTACGAATGTAGTTCAAATATATTGCCTTTAGAATCTGCCCCTAGTAGTCAGTCTTCAAAAAAAATCAGCTCCGAATAAAGATTAATGGTTCATTACTTGTTTGGAAGCGTTTTTTCTGCCAGGAAGCCTCAAAATCGCTCGTTTGGGGCTTTCAAAGTTTGGCAGTTAATTCGGCTCGCTCTGTATAGTGAAAAAATGCGACAAGGCAGGCAGCTTAGGCATCCAGATCGCATACCACCTCGTATTCGAGACAAAAATGTTTTACCTTCTAGGTCTTATTTTCCCACCGAAATTCAACAGGCCACAGAAGGATTATCCAGCTGTTACGGTGACTCGGTTTT